ACCATTGTGTTCTTTTTTGACCTGATCCACCACTACACCCCTTCCCGCAGCCTTCGCTCATCAGAAGCCAACCTCCTTTCTATCCCCACACGAACCAAGCTCCAAACCTGGGGGGACAGAGCCTTCTCCATCGATGCCCCCACCCTCTGGAACTCCCTTCCACAACACATCAGAGACGGCACCGACCCCCCCACTTTCAAAACACTGACCAAAGCACACCTCTTCAGAATGGCTTTTAATTTGTGAATTATGTTGTGTTGCCGTTTTAATATGTTTTTATTCCTTTTATACCTGGAAAAGCGCTTTGAAATGAAATGTATTATTATTATTATTATCCATCAGCTGTCCCAGAGTTTCATGCTCTGGTGGGCAACGGGGCCGCAGAGGAGCTCAGGTGCAGCGTGGGAAATGTGGTCCACACGGGCCAGGTGCTGAAGAAGTGCTTCACCAGGATGATGAACTGCGAGAAGAAGGTGTTCGTGGATCAGCTCAACATGCTGGTCAAGAGAGTCACTGAAGACGGTGAGGAGGCTGAAGGGAAGCTGGAAACAGACGCAGGGTTACTGGGTTTAGTTAGTTGGTTTAGTTGGTTAGTCATTAAGCATTATTAGAGTTTAGAGTGAGAAGTATCACATTTTATCCAGTGCTTTTTATGTTGCCCTCAGTCTATTTGAACATGACAGGAAGCAACAATCTTGAAACCATTAACAACGTAGTTTTTTCGTTTTAAGTCATACTATATTAAGACTACTGTTTTTATTCTATATATTGAATTAAACTTGGGAAAAACAGTACCATGTGCCCAAAGAATAAAATAAATACAGGATGCTAAGAAAATGGCTGTATCTTAGAAACAAGGAGCACAATAATGTATTTGGTATCTATTAACTCATAACACTTTGAATATCAAAGATAAGCAGTCATTTGCAGTGTAAAGATATTCCATAGGGAAGATAAATACTAAACCTAATGTTTCCCTAATTTTATAAATTCTCCTGATTTTAAATATTGGTGAAAACGTCAGAGTTGTACTGTTAAAATGATTTTGGTTTATCGGTTAATTTGACCATACTTAACAATCTGCTCTCTGATGCCCATGTGTTAGAAATAGAGATATATATCAGCTGTCAAATGTAATCATGCATCAAGTGGTACTACAGTAGCAGAAGTAACATAGGTTATCATTAAAAATATAAATACATCGAAAAACGATTTCAAATGAAGGCCAGCATCATCGAGGATAAGACAAAACACTGAAATACAACTTATTAAGTGTCCCAGACAAGGAAGGGGAGCAGCGCTTTGATTAACCACTAGGAGGCGCAACATCTGAAATGTTCTTATCCTACAGATGCAGAGATGGCAAAAGTACACACAGAGTATTTTTAAACACGAGTATCTGTACTTCTACTTGAGTAAAGGATGTGACACATGTTTGACACAACCTTTACTCTAGTAGAAGTACAGATACTGGTGTTTAAAAATACTCTGGTGGCTGTACTGACTAAACTTCTTTACTCAAGTAAAAGTAAAGAAGTATGGGCTTTGAAATGTACTTCAGTAAAAAGTACCCATAACCACCAGCTGTTTCAAAGAGTACCTGACCTCCCTTTATATTAATAGAACAATAATGTCATTGTCAGCTAATGAATGTTTTCATGCTGAACAACGGCAACATGACAACGTTTCCATTGGTCCCTCTTCTTTAGAGAAGACCAGGAAATGATGGATACACGGATCGTGTTCAAATCAATAGGCACGCAATGACTCTAAATAATAATGATCACGCCACCAAACACACATTCAAACTAAAAGAACCAGCCTGTTTGGGAAATGAGAGAAGTAGAAAGTACAGGTATTTGTGTTCAACATGTAAGAAGTAGAAAGTACAGGTATTTGCTTTCAACATCTAAGAAGTCAAAGTAAAAAGTTGTCAGAAAAAATAAGTAGTGGAGTAAAGTACTGATACCAGATAAATGTACTTAAGTATAGTAACAAAGTATTTGTACTCCACTACTTCCCCCCTCTGTACAGATGGGATTTTGAATGGATTTGTAATAGGCAAATCACATGCAGTTGTTTTGCTTTTTTAAAACAGTTTTTACTAACCAAATAACCCTCATGGATGGTGATGACGTGTGCAGGTGCAGCAGGGAAGGACACGTCGAGCAGCATCGGAGACCTGCTGCTGCGGCTCCACTCTCAGTACCCCGGAGACATCGGGTGCTTCTCCATCTACTTCCTGAACCACATGCTGCTGGAGCCGGGACAGGCCATGTTCCTGGGGGCCAACGAGCCTCACGCCTACCTCTACGGAGGTCAGATGATGCTTTCTGTTTGTGTTCATGAGATAATGAAGTTGTTGACACTCCAGAGTTCCTCCAGTAGTCCTGTTTATCAGAGAAGTGTTCAGTTTGTGTGTACAGACAGAGAGATCGAAATACCGTTTCCCACAATCCCGAATACAAAAA